CCGGGATGCCTCGCTCAGCTTCGCGGGCCGGCTGCCCTGGCTGCCCCCGGCTTGGAGCTCCACAGGTGGGCCTCTGGTGACGCTGAGCCTTTACCATTCTCTTCCCATGTGCCTCCTTGCGCACCATCAAGCCCAGGGGTGGGCAAAGGGGCTGCTGTGGATCAAAAAATCCCCTGCAGGACCCCTTTCATGGGGCTCAGCAACTCCCCCTTCCAAAAATAATAAAACGTCATCTCACTGGCAACCGAGACTGCTGTGAAATAGAACTGTTGTCTCAAAAAGAGGGCTCAGAGGCGTGTTTAGTGCGTTGAAACACGGCCCCAGCTCGGCCACGGACGCTCTCGTAGGACGAATTCCTCATCTGCTCCCACACGCCCACGGCAGCCGCTTCATGGGCAGATCGCAGATGGGATGTCCCACACTTTTTACTAGACACGGTGGACTCCACCCCAGAGGCGCGTGCGAAAGACACACACTCAGAAGGAAAGAGCTTCCTGTGCGTCAGAAGCCAGGGCAGCCTGCAGTCGTGCCACACGCTCCCGCACCAAGTGCTCATCTTTCGGCCGCGTAATTTCAGGTGTGGGGAGCCACTTTGCTAACATGGGTACGCCATGTGGGAAACACCCCCCTTCCGGAGCTACGGCAACTCAAAAGGGGATCCGACTCCCATTCGCCGCGGCCAGCTTGGCCAATGGTCAGCGATGATGGGGACTGTAGCCCAAAGCCTCTGGGAGGCACCAAGCGGGGGGAGGCTGGCGTCTGCCGTATGGATCCTGAGCAAACAGCAAGGCGGGAGGCTGGCTTGCCAGAGTTGGCTGAAATCGGGGGGCACAGCACCGGGGAGAGCTGCCGAAGTTGCTTTCTATTTTTGTTTGTTTCGTTCATTTCCTATGGGCTCTGCTTCCATATTTGCAAATACAGCAAATATCAGCCAGGGCCTATCCGCCATCCCTCTCCTCTCCAAAGGAAATCGAACCTTGCCATTTCTCACGGTCTGGAGATGGATCCCAGTGAATCCCAGTCCCTAGCTCACTGGACGCTCCTGGGCCAGCCCCTTTGCTCTTCCCCAGAGACAGTCTGCGGGCGCAGGTGTAGGCTGCAGGGGCCTACCTTGCAGGGCTGTTGTGAAGGTGCAACTACACAGGGGCGAGAACCAGTGACCCTGCCGCTCTCTTTGGAGGACATGAATAAAGCCGGGTCTAATGAAGATGCCAAAGACGGAATTCCAGACCAAGAACACACTTTATTCCAGGGTTACAACCACCATTTCACCATTTCCGGAGCTAAGCCACATAACCACATGGATGGATCGAGTGCTGTTAACTTCCCTCTTTATCTCTATAAGCCTACTTTCTTCCGAGACGACGGTCACCACGAACACAACATTTACCAAGAAGGAAACCCACAGCGCTTAGAGCACCATTTTGCAGGCAGAATGTGAATATTAAGTATTATTATTATTATTATTATTAATTTATTCATTCTTGTCGCTGCTATTGGCACCTGCGGAAAAACTGTCAAGCGTTGGGAGAGGTTTAGAAGAAAGGGGTGGGGGAGTAGCCCCCCCGGCCCCTGCTGGCCACAATCTGTGGAGTTTGTACCTGAGAAAGAGTTTATTATTTTGCAAAAATTATTATATTTCATTTTAGTCTTCAACAAATCACACACCCACACACGCACACTCACGGAAGCAAATTACACGCGGTAGGGATGCAAAGAGAAGGCTATTCACAGCAGAAAGGAATAAAAGAGGGGTCGCGCTCCACACATCTCTAAGGTACCTACGATCGCACACCTTTGTTTCCATGTGAGTTCACCACTTAGCACCACTTGATATTTATGTTTTCTTTCCTCCCTCCCCTTACAAACACAACCCACCCCACTCCCGATTTTTTATTTTTATTTTTATTTTTTCTTTTAAGAAACTGCTCCAAGAGAACATCCGGGCAAGAGGAAGCGTTTCGAAGCTTTGTGCTTGGAAGTCAGAAGGAGACGCAGCCGGAGAATTCGGCCCTGGCTCCAGGGTTGTGGTCAGACCACGGCAGGTTTGATCCTGCCCAGCGCTGGGTCCTGAGGAAGGGTTTGCCTGATAGTTTGTAAACTCTGAGTAGCACTTGAGGCCGGACTGGCCCCCCCATGGACAACGGGGGGGAAAGATGGCCCCTGAGGGCAAGGCGAGAGACAACCAGTCCAAAACGGGGACTGGGGGAAACGGAAACAAAAAAGAAACACTGGCATAGATGCTGGAGGAACTGGCGCTGCAGAGTGCCCCTGCGCATGCACGGAGTGGCTTCGGTACCCACGCGGGATCGTTGGGCGTCCTGTTCCTCTCTCGTTTTGCTTCGCTGTTTTTGAGACTGAAGCTCTTAATGCCCGAGGCCTTCCCTGCATCGGCCCCGGAAGAAAAGTTTCATAGCAAGGGCTTTGCCCTGAGACATCTGACATCATCGCAACAGACAAGAGCACCTTTGAGCGTGTGCAGAGTGCTATCTCTGCACACAGTTTGAGTACACCCAGGCCACCCGCCCCCACCCTGCGCTTTCGAGGGTGGGCAGGGCAGGTCTTCTGGATCTAAGCGTATGACTCGTAGGCCCACGGCAGAGCTTCTCGCTTCGTGTTCAGCCTGAGAAACCTGAGATGGAGAGACCGCGGCGTGGAGGGAGAGGGCAAGGGAGCCGCTGCCCGGCGGGGGAGGAGGGGGTGCCTGGCCCTGCGTCCTCCCCCAGCGCAGGCCGCTGGACAACAAGGCCACGTGCCGGGTGAGGGCCGGCTGCAGGGGCACTCGGACCGGGGCACGGCTGCCAACTGCCCACCGCAGCCGTGCCTCCTGCACCCCGGGAGGCCCCCCGCAGGGGGCGCCACCATCCACCAGGCTGGGGCTGCCAGCCCCGCATCACCCCCTGGACCGGACGCTGCTCCCCAGCAGAGGCTTCCCCAGGTGGGTTTCGGGGGGGACCCCTGCATGAGACGGGGAGGGCTCCCCAGGGAGGAACGGCGGCCAGAAGAGCACCTGCCCTCCGGGAGAGCCAGGCTAGGCAACCTCTCTGGCCCAGCAGTGGCCACAGTGCAGCCACCCCTGAGGCTGAGCGGCAGAGAGGTGGTTCGGGGGGGGGGGGCAGGGCGGGCAAGGGCTTTCCCCCCCCCCCCCAGATTTCCTGCCTCCTGACACTGCTCCTCCGAAGCTGCAGGGCCCACCCCGAAGGCAAGACGGCAGCCCCCGCAGCCTCCTTGCTGGGAGCGCCCCCCTTGGGCCCGGAACATGGGCCAGGGACCTTTCACACCTGAGTCCGGCGCCTCTGAGGCTCCCCACACGCGATGCAAACAGGGAAGAGGCCGTGAGAGCGCCAATCTGCATCCTGGCCAAGGCAGCATCTGCACCCCTCCACTGCAGCCACCCTCCCACCTGAATAAATGCCAAAAGAAGCCGGGGCTCCTCTTGCCTGGAAGGCAGTGCGGTGCAGTGGTTAGAGGACCGGTCCATTTTCCAATCTCCCTCAGCTGGGAAGCTCACTAGGGCCGCCACACCCTTTCCCACCCTTCCTCTCCCACGGGGCTGTTGTAAGCATCCTGCAGAGGAAGAACGGCTTGCGCCGCCTTGAACTGGAAGGCAAATATCGCTGGAAAGAGACCCTGCCTGGGTTTAACAGGCTGGATTAACACGTCGTCGCCTCCAGGCCGTTCCTCTTGTGCAGATCTGCCACGTTCGGTGCCAAGAAACCCCAGAACGTGCGACCCGGGCAGGCTGCGCCCAGGTGGCAGCTCGGCTGCTGGGCCTTGAACCCCCAACCCCATGATCTGCAGCCCACGCTGGCCTCGCCTGCAAATTTTCTGGAGAGAGACCTTGTTAGAGATCCCACTTGGAGGCCTAGGAGGAAGAGGGCAAGGCTGCAGGCACGCGAAAAATGCCTTCATAGCTCTCATGTAGCACAATTTATTCTCAACCATTTAAGTACAGAATCATGGAAGGGGGCAGAGGGTCATTGGGTCCCAAGCCCCTGCTCAGTGCGGGACTCCCAGTTAAAGCATCCCCGCCTCTGGTTTAGGGTTGGGACATCTCAGCAGGCACTTTAAGTTCCACTACCTAACAGTTCCCTCCTTCCTTCCTTCCCGGGATTTCATTTAGCCCATCTGCCCCAGGCCAGTACCCTCCAGAAGAGCTGGAGCACAACTTCCATCATGCTGGGGAGGCGCCCAGTGGGAGGGAGATGGCCCAGGCCAGGCCAGGCAGGGAGTTCTAAGGACCAGCATAAGCGTGCTGGCTGCTTTGGCCTTGGCCGGGGACAGAGCCCATGATCTTGCAGGCAGCTGCGATGAATAAAACCCACAGGGCTCTGTCCAAAGAGTGGGAGGAACTTGGTGCCTGCAGCAAATAGAAAGAGAAAGTGTCCCAAGCGCTACAGAGCCAGAGCATCGCTGGCAATTCCTAGAGAGCTGGGAACAGAGCGCAGTTCTAAGATTAGCAAATCTAATTAGCAAAATCTGTGGCTAAAATAAACTGGGAAGGGAAAGAATGCTCCGGGAGGGGATGAGAAGGGGCAGGCTGTTGCTGCCGGCCAGATACTGTCGCTTTAAGGGTTGCTCAGAGTTAGCCCTGGGTCAGGCCCGGAAACGGTTTCCAATGCCAGAGTGCAACCTTGGACTAGAGGTAAGAAACAAGCTTCCAGATGTGTTGAAAGGCAGCCCCAATTTTTAGGAGCGACCATCATTTTTAGAAACGTGAGAATGAGTGCCTCTGTGCATGGACAGAGTACAAAACTCTGCAAATGCGCCTTTCCAAGGCAGTTGGTGACTCACAGATTAAGGGCACTATCCTATGTGGGGGGGGGGGGGGGGGGGGGGGGCAAAGTCCTACAGCTCCCAGTATTCTAATGTATAGGATATATTGGAATACCTTCTCAACATGTATAGGGTAGTGCCCAAAGCTAATATAATTAAGTATGGACCTATCTTTTCTCTCTTTCTGTGATGGGAAGTATAGGGAGGGGAGGGGAGGGGAGGGGAGGGGAGGGGGCCTTCTCTAGTTCTGGAGGTGAAGCCTTCTCCAGTTAATTTCCAGTGCAACAGACACAAGAGGAGGCAGGCGAAGCTGGCAGCCTCAGTTTTCACCACACCTTCCCCAGCACCTCTTTGGACTTGCCGGGATCACAGGGCAGCTGCCCCGGCTTCTGAGCGCATGGATCAAAGAGCGCATGGCAAAGAAGGGTCCTCTCAGGGCTGGGAAAAGTTTCTTAAGAATAGGATCTCCTTCACTGCAAGTATTCAGGCAGAGGCGGCAAGGTTAGGGACGCTTTAACTGCACCCTGAAGCACACAGTCTGTGCCAAGAAGGGTTGGACTAGATGACCTCTGAGACCCCTTCCAACACTGGGATTTCTTTGAAATTGTGAACAAGTCATTGGCAGGCACAGAATGTCATCCATCTTGTCCTGGGTCTTCCTTAGATCAGCTTCCCCTACCCTGGGGCCAACCCTAGCGCTTGGACTACAACCCCCAACAGCCCCAGCCAGTCTGCTCAGTGGTCAGGGACAATGGAAGGTACAGGCCAGTGGCCAGGTGCTCATCTAGGATTGTGGGAATTATCATCCAGCACTCTGAAGGCCACCAGAGAGGAACGCAGCCATAGGTTCAGGGGGCAGGATGGAGGCCACACGCCCTGGCCACCTCGAACTGGCTTGCCGTGGCCTAATTCCCTAATTCAGGTTGCCCATGAAAAGGTGGGGAAATCTCTCTGGCAACCTACAGGCACAGGGCTGGCCGGGACGATGCACCGCATCTGGGAGCTGCAGCAGAAATACCACTTTTGCGCGCACGCACACCCGCCCCACAACATCCTCCATCCCGAATTCAGTTCCGGGCAAAATCTGAATAACCAAGGTGGCTCGAGTGATGTGGCAACCCTGTTTCAGCAGCAGTTCAAGGACAACCCATGTTCAGCCCTTCATCGTGGGTGACTGGAGTGTCTGAATCCAGCGGGCGCTAATTCAGCCAACAAAAGATGGGCTTTCAACCCCAAAATGGTAATCCCAGCTGGGGAAGGGGCGTGACCGTGACCGGGCTCCAGGAAAGAGGGAAAGTAATTTGCCTTGCCCCCAGGCCTCCATCTCCTAGCAAAAGGCGCTGAGGGAAAGAAACTTGTGCTGAGGCTGCCGGCGGCACCACACCCTGGCCCTCCTCTCCCCTTGCTCATCTGCAGGCTGTCATGGCAGCCCCTCCTTCCGGAGCAGCTGAACGATTGCACTGCGCACCTTCCACGCCGTGGCCACTGGTGATGCAGTCAGTTGCACGCATCCCATTAAGGCGGCTTCCTCCACGGCCCTCTCTCCTGAACGGCTCTGTGATTCTGCTCTGGCCAGGATGCACATTTGCTGCCAAACGCCTCCCCTCCGTCCCTGGAATTCTGTTGCTCATTGGAAACAGTCGCAGACGCAACCCGAGGAGCCCCAAAGAGCCTCAGAGGGCAATGCAAGACTCATGCGTGAAAACGCTTTCTGGGGATATGGCTGTTTTGGGGGCACCGTTGCCACCGCGGCCTGTCCTGTGGCATCCTGGGAGCTGCCGTTTGACGGAGCACTCGTGAATGCCGCTGAAGCATCCCTCCCCAAAAACTACACTCCCCAGAGTGCCTTGCAGGAGGAAAGCTCTATTTAAATCACATTTAAACTGTGGCATGGGCGTGCCCATATTTGGGGAAGGTGAAGTGAGTTTCTGGAAAATCGAACCTTTTTGATACGCGGAATGAAGACTTGTGCATGCTGGAAGGCTAAGCTGGCTCAACGGCTGGCTGCGGCTTCCCTGGGAACCCCAGTTCTGCAAGGTGCCCAGCGAGATTAAGCAGGGATTGCTCTGGAGCTCTGCGTATTCGGAATTCCTGGAACCTCCCGGAGGAGGGAAGCCACCCATACTAAACAGGTTTCAAAGTGGGGTGGGCTGCATCGGGGTGCCCACTCCTTCCCAGCACCCGACTCCAGAAAGAGGCCAGTCCTTCAGGACCGCTCCATCGTATGGCTCCCAGAGATGCTTGGAACTCCCAGGAGATGCCAGCCTGGCATTCCCGTGCCAGAAACCGGTTTCCCCCATCCCGTGACTCCAGGCGGAAGGGCCAGGCCCTGAAGCAGCTCTGCTCGCCTTCTCCTGCTGCTTCACAAGGAGAGCTGCTTCAGCAGCGACCTCTGCCTCGCCTCTTGGGCACGCTCCCACCGTGGTCGCGCCAGGCCCTTCCCTGGCAGACGCTTCCCAGGCTGCGAGGGCTGCCCTGGCCCAGCCTGCGTCGGCCTCCGGCTGGCAAGCGAAGCTGGAAAGGACCCCGCAGAGAGCAGGTGTGATGGCAACAAGACTGCCCGGCCGGCAGACCCCTCCGCTGCAAGCCGGCAAGGGAGACCTGGCTGCGACATCTCCCACCCTGCACTCGCTACTCCGGCAGGCGACGCTTCTCCAGGGCAGCTGGCTGTGACCTTCACTGAAAGTCACAGCCCTGCGAGGGCAAGGATGGGGGTGTCCTGCCCTTTCCAGGTGGGCCTCCGAGACAGAGCATCCCTTCCAGGGCCCCGGGAGCAGCCTTTCCTCCCCGTGCAGAGGGGGTGGCCACGACCGAGAGAGGCTGGGACGTGGGAGCAGAGGGAGTGGCAGAGGGAACGTCTGCGCGCAGCCGGCATGAAGGGGGGGCCCCTGCCTCAGCCTGTGGCACCCCCCTGGCAAGAAGAAAGCAGGGGGGCCTTTTGGAGGAGAGCAAAGCTGCTCCATGCGAGGGAACTGCATGCATGCGCCTCGGATCCACGTGCGTACCACGTGCGCGCAACTTTGCTTTCCCCCAAAGCGAGGGCTCCCCACCCCAGTTCAGCTGCGGGTTTCCGTGCACTGGCAACACAAAAGTCTCATAAAATGAGGACCCGGAAGCTCTGCCCATCCACGCCGGGCACCGGAGCCCAGCAGGCTGCCAACCGGTCTCGAGGCGGGCGGCAAGCGGACCGGCACCTTTTCTCTTCTCCTTTCCCCGGGAGCCACGGCACGTGGATCCCGGAAGGGAGAGGGGGGCAAAACGAACCACTGGCAGAGCACCCCAGGACCTGTGTCGGCACGGCACCGACGTGGAAGCCGGGCGACGTGGACACCCTAGGGGACAGAACCGGAAGGTGCGAGGAGCAGGACCCGGAGGGAGGGAACGTGGGCAGCGGAGGACGAAGGAAGAGGCAATGTCGGGGGGTCGAGGCGGAGGTGGAGGGGGAGTCTCTCAGCCACGGATGGCGGCCGAGCTGGGAAGCAGCTGCGAGGACGAGGACGAGGGGGGCGGCTGGAGAGGGCTGCAATGAAAAACCTGATTAGACAGTCAAATTTCATGGGTAAATAAACACCGCGCCAAGCCTGGAGCTCGCTGGGGCTTGTAAGGGTGAGAGACGATGAGAAGAGCAGCCCCGCCACGCCACGCCGGCTGCCGGCAAAGTGGGTGTGTGCCGGGTGGGGGATGGGCAACGGGACGCTCGCCTTTCAATGCAGCCAAGGCAAGAAAATGAAGATACCTGATTCCTGCATGTAAACAGCTGGGTTTTTTCTTCTCTCTCTCTCTCTCTCTCTCTCAATCTCTCTCTCAATCTTGTTTGTCCTTGTTGTTTGTTTTTTGTCTTTTGATACAACCTGATTGCGGAGAAGCGAGAGTTACCTGGTGGGACTCAGAAGGTAAAGACCAGGTCCGAGATGCTAGACATCAGCCAGTCCCCTGCGATCATCTCAGTCACCTCGGGGGTGCAGTAATCCGGGAACTCAAAGTGAGAGGTGGCACCCAAAGGAAAGAGGTCAAGGTCTTTGTCGAAGATGGACCAGTCCGGAGTGCCACAGGCCATGCTGGGCTGGGCACGGCCGGGCAGGAAATTCAGGAGCTCTTCCTCCAACTCTTCGTCCGAGGAAGCAAAGGAAGAGGGAGGGGACCGGGTGGATGCCGGAGAAGACACCTCGGAAGATCTCGCCGGCTCCAAGAAGGGCTTGGCCAGCACACCTGCCTCATGGCCCTTGGGCTCCCCGGCGCCGGCCGCCCAGCCGCCTTTCTCTCCGGTGGCCGGGAGCACGTGCCACAGTTCCTTGCTGGGGGTTTTCGGACTGTCGTCAAAGGACGCCTCCAAGAGCCGGGCTTCCAGGGGGTCGTCCTCCAGCTCCGGACTCGAAGGGCCCGCCTGGCTGTCGGCGCTGGGGCCTGGCTTCGGGGGCTGCCTTCTGGCGGAGGCCACCCGGCCGAGGACCGAGGAGGGCTTGATCTTCACGGGGACCCTCGGGCGGGGCTTGGTGCCGCCCATCTTGCCTTTCTTCCTGGGCCGGTACTTGTAGTCGGGGTAGTCGGCCATGTGCTTGAGGCGCAGCCGCTCCGCCTCCTTGACAAAGGGGATCTTCTCCGAGTCCTGCAGCAGCTGCCAGCGCCTGCCGAGGCGCTTGGAGATCTCCGCGTTGTGCATGTCCGGCCACTGGTCCATGATCTTCCGCCGCTCGTTCTGCGACCAGACCATGAAGGCGTTCATGGGGCGCTTGATGTGCCCGCTGGGCGTCTTGCACCAGCCCGGCTCGCCCTTGGCGTCCGGCGGCAGCAGCAGGCCCTCCTTGGGGCACACCTCCCGCTTGGCCTCGGCCGCCCGGCTCCTCGCGCTCCGCTGCTGGACCATGCTGGCGCCGGCCCCGCCGGAGCCGCTCCCGACGCCGACCGCCGGCGGGCTGCTCCCTCGCCCTCTGCCGGGGAAGCCGCGCCTCGCCGCCTCGCCTCGCCGCGCCGCGCCGCGCCGCTCCTCGGGCGCTGGGTGGGCGAGCCGCGCTGGCTGCCGGCGCGAGCGTGCCTCGTCCACGCCCCCCTCTAACTCGGTCTCCGGAGCAGCGGGCTCGCCGGTTGACAGGAGTGGCCGCGGCACTTGGCGGGCGGGCGCGCGGAGCAGCGGGGCGCCTTGGCGGGCGGCGGCGGCGGCGGCAACAAAACCCCAGCCGGGCGGGCGGGCGGGCGGTGTCACCGCCGAGCCGGGGTCCCCCGCCGGCGCCGCATCGCCCGGGGCGCGGGGAGCGCGCTTCTCTCGCCGCCGGCGACCCCGGCCCGCGGGGCGGCGCGGAAGGGGTGCTCGCCCTGCGCTCTATCTCTCGATCAGACCGG